AAAACATTTGCAGTAGAAAAACTGAAATAGTATTTTCTTATAAAACACACTTTGAAAAATACTTTTTTACAGCTTGTTTTTGTGCCTTGTTTTGGCCAAATGCATTGTGACGAGCAATGGCAAATAAAAAAATATTAGCAACATTATAAAACTATTATTCTGTTTGTTTATTTGTTTATAAGTGTTTTGTGTTAAAAGCGGTTGCTTCAAAATTTCGGAGTTGCTGCCTATGGAAATTGATACAAAACAGACACTTATGAGGTTCCAGTTCAACTGAGCCATATAAGGCAGATGCCTATGTAGACAGCAGGCATATACTGAAGGCAGCTCTCTAAGCTTTGGAACAAGGATAAAGTCTCTTGTGACACTGTCATACAATATTCCTTTTGTCATGTGACAAGTAAAACAACTAACAAAAAAAAGGCACCCTAGAAAAACAAAAAACAAACCTGCAACCACACTTGCATACATCTGTCACAAAGAAGTACTTCAATAAGCTCGAAGCAATTAAACATCTAAAATTCATTCTGCATGGACTTTCAACCCTTCAAAAAAGATTATAAGAACCTGAAATCCAAGGCAGCTGTTATACAAGCAGATACATGAAATGCAAAACTATAAACCAACGCTGGATTGGTTAGTAATTCTTCGGCCTCGTTCAAGCCAGCTTCTCCTGAGATTTACGGTTGGTAAACAGACTGGCTGAGAACACAGAATATTTAGTATTTTGTACATTTTGAGGGTGCGTTATGAGGGTTTGGGATGCCAGGGAGAAATGAGGTTACTCAACATTTGGTGTAGAAAATAATATGTTACATTGCACTCAGTTCTGCATGCATAAAACAGAATAAAATAGACAAAGAAACAAATATAGAAGAAAATACAGTACTATACAAATGCTAATAATATAGTCTCATATATTCAGACAGATCAAGAACTGTCCACTTAGACACTGACCACCACGATCAACTACAATACAATGTGATTTTACATTATTTTTGTGAATGTGAATAAATCTGAAAACAATGACAACGCACAAACAAATTATTTAAAAAAATGGCTCACCATTCTCCACAAACAACTATACGGCATGAGAGAGAATGAAAATAGTGGAAAATGACTGTAGACTTGGTGATACAAATTTCATTCTCCCCAAAAATAAAAACTTTACTCCATAGATATTACTCAGGAAAAAGCAGAATACACAATTTGCTCATGGATCATTTGTTTACTTGCTACTAAAATTCTGAATATCTTTTAAAGATGGCATAAACCTCACAGACTAAATCCAATAAAATCTAGTGACTAACTCATTGCATCAACCCGGTACCTTGTTAACACGACTTCCTTCCGACTACTAACAATGCTATGTCAATGTCTGCTGTTTGGGACAAAATAAGGGTACTTCAATCTCACGGTCTCATGACACGACAAACGGTAAATAAAAACCACACTCTCGACATTAACCCGGATTTAGACCTCCCTCCAGCTGTCTCTAGACCAGACGTGCAGGACCGTGAGCCCATTAACCGGGTTTAGCTGCTCTGGAGAGTTAGGGGTTACTGGTTCTCTTAACTCGAGTGCTTGCAACTCAAGCGCTTATTGATGGAAATGAAAACAACACCATTATGGGAGGAGGTGGGATGTGCACAGGTTTTCCTCCATCCCGTAAGGGCAGAACAGGCTGTTTATCTTTGTTAGAGGTGAAGCCTTCCAAACTACATCAGCACACAGAACGACAGATTCTTAACTTTTACTTATTTAGAGAGAGAGAAAAAAGTATTATGGTGGTACCATGGTTCAACGATGTTAAATTGGTACACTATAGTATTTATTCTAGTGTTCAAAAGTTTTGGGTCGGTAAATTTTTAAATGTGTGTGTGTTTTTTTTTTAAAGGTTCACCAAGCCTGTATTTATTCAATCAAAAATACAGTAAAAACAGCAATATTGCAAAATATAATTACAATTTAAAATAATAGATGCTTTCTATGTGAATGTATTGTAAAACATAATTTACTCCTGTGACGCAAAGCTGAATTTTCAGCATCATTACTCCAGTCTTCAGTGTCATGATCCTTCAGAAATCATTCTAATATGCTGATTTGCTGCTTAAAAAAACCTTATTATTATCAATGTTGTTTTATTTGAAATAGAAATTGAAACATAATAAATGTCTTCACTGTCACTTTTGATCAATTTAATGTATCCTTGCTGAATAATAGTATTAATTCCTTTCATAAAAGCCAAGAATACTATGGTATTTCCATGGTAGATATCCAAAAATCCTAGCATGAAAGAATTACCATGTATCATACAAAGAAATGCATGGTACATTGATGGCATCTGATGGTAATAATATACTATGGCTTTTATAAAGTTCTCCAAGGTATGTGGATGGTATAATATCATGGTCCATTTTGGTATGAACTGAAATACAATAGTGCAAAAAACATGGTATAATAATATGGCACATTGTTGTAAAAAATCAGCTCAAACTCAAATGTCATTTTAATTTTAAAGTGTGTACATAAATAACAGTACCCACAGAGAGTGTCAATGTCCCTGTCCATCACTCCACTGAAAAGCCATTAGACATGTGGGTGGTTTGTTTCCACGTAACTCCAGACAGGCGTACGAGACACAGCGGAGGGGTGGAAGACATCACGTCATCGCAAACTCACAACATGTCACGCAAATTAAACAAAACAAAGATCAAGGACTAAACACCCGCGCGTGCAGAAGTGTTCTGCTATTTACTCATCCTCATTTGCATGGAGATAAAGAACAATAAAGAAGCAGGAGGACAAAAGACACCTTCGCTTTACACGTCTCACTGTTGATTAATAAGGAGCTGTTGAGGATCTTCTCTGTCTTATTTCCATGCGCTTTCATACGCACACTCTTATTTTGTCAGCAAAGCAATTAATTTCTGAAAGGCTTTGATGGTTTGATAACAGGAGGCTGCTGTGCAGTGAAATGAAGGGAGAGCAAAGAGACAGAGAGAGAGGGGAAATTTGATCAAAAGTATGGATTTTGATGCAGGACACATCTCAGGTACTCAGAAACTGATCTGAAACCCACTGTGATGTGTGTGTGTCATATTTAGCAGGCTTCTGAGCTGCTCTTATAAGTGTAGATCAATGAACCACCCAGTACTTCATTACACACAGTACATATAGGGTGGCCTAGAGTCTGGCAACCAGAAGGTTACTGGTTCATTCCTACAAGGGTTGAGCCATAAGCAATCATCTCCGTGTCCTTGTTCCAGGTACTTAACCTAAAATCACTCCTGGTGTGATTGCCGCTGAAGTGAGTGTACTGGAAATACTTTTAGTTATAGAAATCTCTATGAGCACAGACTGTGTCAATAGAAAAGTCTATTATATATATAATATATATACATATATATAATCTATCTATCCATCCATCCATCCATCCATCTGCTTTGATATGTTTTAAAGTATGGTTTATATATAAACATGCTTTATACATTTAAAATTCATAGCAATAAAAGTATTACACATTGTATATGCAGCATTGCATATGATACGTACATGCAATATTGCATTTCAAAAATGTTTAAATAGTATACTGAAAATAACTTTTCATACTCTCAAAAACAAAATGCATCAAAACATAAAATACATCAAACTAATGTTTTTATTGCTAGTTGCTGCAGCCCTATTTTATTTCCATGAGTCTCCAAACTTTCCTAAAGCTTTGAGTCAAGAAACTTGCTTGCCACAAACAAAACCGTATCCTTTTGTGACCCTTCCACTGCATTCATCTCTGCGCCTTCCTTTTCCTGCCTCCGAGCTCTTTGTCCTAAGTCTAATTTGTCGGAATCACTAAAAAGCGAGGAGAGGGGGCATACGGCTGCTCAGATCTCCTGGATAATTCTATTGGACGCTTCTAATTAAATCAATGAGGGCTATTATAGCAATTATCCGGCCAAATGGGGCCGCACTGTGCCCACTCGATACATTTAGTAAATTCTGTCAATCTTCTTATCACCAAGATGGCACACGCCGTAACCCCGTTTTAATGATGTACCTGGATATGCACAATGCCTTGCATGTGGTTTGTCTTCCTCATCAAATCAAAATGATAGTGAGGCTCTTTTGTGCCTCCAGCCCACTCGAACACACACATTAATGCAAAATCTGGGTGTAATTTGTTTTTGTCATGCCGTGATTTCATTTCCTTGCTTGTAATGGGGATATTCTATGCATTGACTATTAAATAATTAATTAGCGAGAGATCCGGGCTGTCAAACAACATTTCCTGCAAATCCCTTATTTTTGTGCAATATTTGTACCAAATAGCATCCTGCCACCTTACTTTACCACATAAATGTACTTTGATATATAGTTTTAAGACTCACATACTGTACACACATGAACAGCAACATTTCAGTTTCATGCATGAAAATACAACTTCCAAACTATCTACCTTGCTTTTTAATTAATTGTAGCAAAAACAGTATTACAAATAATTCCTTTGCTCCCAACCACTAGAATCTGGAAATCGTAAAGAAATGTTTTCTTGAGAAGCTAAATTGCATAAGATAAGAAGTCTTGTTTTCTGTCGAATTGATCAGAACGAAGTGACTGCATGATTAAAACAAGACAGAATATCTGCCAATCAACTTGACTTAATTAATTAAATCAAGTACCCCATCGAGAGATATTTGTTGCTGTTTTCAGCATAACTAACTTCATTTTGTTCAGTTTTTCAAGACTTCATTAAACCTTGAGACATCTTCAGTTAATGATGTTTGAATACTTGTGTTGAAAAACAAAAATACTGAGAACGATTTTAATTTTTGGCAATGCATGAACCATTTAATGCCATGACTTTATGAATTTAAGACTTTTTAGGGCCTTAAGGGCAAATTAAGACCTTTTAAGACCTACAGAAACCCTGATAATATTATATTTATATACATATATACACTATAAATACATAAAATATAAATAAACAAAAAATATTTTCTCACCTCATAGAGTGTAATGACTCCATTAGTTTCATTCGGAGCCTTCCATTGCATGAAGATCTTCTCCTCGTATGGGCCTGTCTGAATGGACTCCATAGGAATGGGGCCAGGAACTGGTATAGAAACACAGACACACATTCAAAACATTTAGCAACTCAAAAACATGTTTAGTCAACATCTATAACTCAAATACTGTACCATTGCATCAACACCTTTAAATAAAACGTGACTGTTTTGAGAACAGAGGGGACGTAGGGTGACAGAAATGGCTTGTGTTGCTGGGTAGAAGAGCAGAGATTGGCTGACTAAAGAAGCAAAACTATGTCAAACACACCTCAGCCGCAATGTTCGAAGTGTGAATTGTAACAGCTTTGCTACCCTTCGGTATCGAGAGGTGTTAACAAGTGCTACGAGTACCACTGCGCGCATATGCGTGTCTATTTGCATATTTTTGTGCGCACGTCCCCTCTGGCACACATTGCAAGTTTTCCAAATATACTCTTGCTAGAACATCATTAACACCCTAAAAACCTGTTTTCAAGATGCCATTATCCATACACAGCTTCATCCTGCTCTCGTACGCAAGAATGGCATTTTCAGAGATGCTATGACTTGACAATTTCATAAATTTGCAAGCAAATGTGCTAATTTGGCTCAGTTTGTCAATAGCCAATAGGATTAGTAATTTGTCAATAGTATGTTAACTTGAGGCTAGTTGTCTTTCATTTCTCAGTCTTGGTTAGTGTCTTTGACTTGACTGTTAGCGATGACACACTAATGAGTCAGACTGTTCCTGACAGTGTTGTGCAATGAGAGCTAATGACTTGGCTAAAAGGCCATTTAGTCCAACTTGCTTTGCACTAAGTCGCGGCTAATTGGGAGGGCAGATTAAAGAGATGAGCGTGGCAGGGCCGTAACGGGGCAAGCGGGAGAGGACGCTCGGGCACAAACAGATTAGCTGGAGGTCGTCTTGAACGGCGAAGAAAAGAATGACATCTATTGTTCATGCAGCATTTCATTAACACAGCAACAACACACAAACCTAAACCATGAACTATTTCATTGAGGAAAAGCTCATTTATTTTGGGAATCTCATTTATTTTACAAAAGAGAATGTTTCTTTTTTTCCCCACTTTGAACAGATTTAATCTCATTCAGTTCTTTCTGTTTATTTCTTTTGCATGTAACTAAGCTCATCTTCAAAACGTTGAAAGGTAGAGATATTTGCCTTCATTCATTATTAAAAGCTGAATAGACTTTAGCATGTATTCTTCAATGGGAAAAAATTTGAGCTTTTCTAATAACTTAAAATACAAACACTTTCACCGTGTCCTGAGATTTGAGAGGATACATTAATAAAGCATGCAAATAATGTCCACACACAATTATGATTTATGAAACAATCATGTTGTCCCCTCTAAAATTCCACCATTACTGAATAATGTAATGTAAAGTGTACATGAACTTTAGTTTGGATGTTTATGTATATGCATATAATACTGTGTTTGAATGTTCATATACAGTGGGTACGGAAAGTATTCAGACCCCCTTAAATTTTTCACTCTTTGTTATGTTGCAGCCATTTGCTAAAATCATTTAAGTTCATTTTTTTTCCTCATTAATGTACACACAGCACCCCATATTGACAGAAAAACACAGAATTGTTGACATTTTTGCAGATTTATTAAAAAAGAAAAACTGAAATATCACATGGTCCTAAGTATTCAGACCCTTTGCTCAGTATTTAGTAGAAGCACCCTTTTGATCTAATACAGCCATGAGTCTTTTTGGGAAAGATGCAACAAGTTTTTCACACCTGAATTTGGGGATCCTCTGCCATTCCTAATTGCAGATCCTCTCCAGTTCTGTCAGGTTGGATGGTAAACGTTAGTGGACAGCCATTTTTAGGTCTCTCCAGAGATGCTCAATTGGGTTTAAGTCAGGGCTCTGGCTGGGCCATTCAAGAACAATCA